TACGAGCAAGTCGTACACGCTAAAACATAGTACTACAGGGGAGGGGGGTATCCTAACAGCGCAGCTCATTGGATGTGTCAGTAGCTGTACAAGTACTTGCAACAAGAGAAGGTGCAGCCACCATCTCGACGCTATCTCGACTATGCCGTACAGGTATACAATACTACACAGGCATCAACTTGCACACACACCGGTCTCAGAATAAATCCGCTTATCCCGGAGCTGTTTGCTGATCCATTTTTGCTCGGATGAGAGGTTCAGGATGAGACTCTACCCGAGACCTTGATACTAGGTACTAGTATATTATGCATTGATCTCTGAAAAGATGGAGCGGGAAGATTATGAGCATGGACACATTCGAGCATTTGGGCTCTTACCAAATCACAGCATGTTGATTACGGGTTCTATCACGAGCGAACTCGGCATGACAACGGAGCAAGCACGGAGAACCCATCTATCGAATGAAATACAATGTACACACCCTTTAGTGTTGGCTTTCAAGCTCAATCCTGAAGCTCAAGGCACGGGAGCGCGGGAGGACCGTCCGCATTAACGAGGCCCGTGCCACTAGTCTAGTCCTTCCTGAGGTAATAACGGAGTGCTAGCACTCGATCTTCTCATGGAGGCTCGAGGAACGGTGAAACGCGCGCGCTGGTAGTTTGAACGCTAGGCTAACAAGATGGTGTAAGTGTTTACTTCTTACATTGCTCTACAGCGTTTATATCGCCTCAGGTTTCGCTGACAAGCCGTTCAGCAAAAGAAGAGACATCTGACTCGATTTGGTTTCAAAAAATGCCGAGTGAACGGACTTATTCTTCATCTGCAGACAGTGCTTCCTCAGCGCTCTGAAGTCATGCTGCTGCTGCTGCTGCTACGGCTACTGCTATCACTACGTTTCAATACTGGCAAGTCTTTCTGCAATGCGGTGCGTCCAGGCGTTTACACTTCATTGTTAGAGTATCATGAGCGGTAGCTTTACCGCCGCTCCGACTACGACTTGATAGGCGAGATGAAGCAACCATTTGGCAACGTACCTATGTAATGGCACCAGTCTCTCCGCCCTATGGGATTTGATATCAAGTCAGTCGGCAGAACACTCAGAGTGAAATCTTTGTGTAACTTGTCATTATCTCGTCCTATCTTTCTGCTCCAAGTACAGAGAATGTCAAAGAAATAGAAGAGTCAAGCAAGACATCCAACGTGTCCTCATATTGAAAATTATCCAAACAGGTTACGTACTATTAGCAGACCAATCACTCATGCAATCTGATGCAAAATGTGAACTTGGTGGTAGGCTAATTGCATTATAGCTATTTTTAATAGCCGGCATAACATTGACCCGACCTGAAGCCTTCGGTCCAAGGCCATTACTCCCATCAAATAGAAGCTTTAAACTCTCGGCAGCTCGTCCTTGTCCTCGATCAAATTGGACAAGAATATATAACCAGGGGGGCTGTGGCGTCCGCGCCAAGAGCATAGCTTCCGCTTCAAGGTTCACTTCCAGTTGGCCAATTTCAACCCTTGCCGTTCTGTGGAGGGTCCGTGCCCAAGCAAGAAATACTGACTAGCGGTAAACTACTCGCAGCATGCACTTGCAGCTAGATATTTCTCGGCCTAGCATGGAGTTGCTCCGCATCACACCGCGCTTCAACCTGAAAATGCCTGAGAGGCGTCCAGGAATCAAGCATACAGTAAGGATACAAAGCTGAGCCAAAGCACTTCATTGTTCTCCGATATTAGGCAGCGGTGTAATTACGGGCATGCCTACGTGACTCGTATCGGTTCCGTTTCGATCCCGCTACTTGTTAGCTGAGGGCCAGTCTAGTCAGGATCTTCCCGTCAAACCCAGAGCTTCCTCACTCGAAAAAGACCGGCATGAGGTTCTTTACGGTCATTTGGGCTTTATGAGGGCTATTAGTAGCCCATCGCTAAAACATGGGAGCTATTCTGCTTAAGGGCAAATAACTGCCAGTGTGGCTGGCAAGCTAGGTCAAGCCAACATCGAGCATCCAAACGTGGACAACCGTTACGCGCCGCCTCCTTGATCCATTTCCAACAGCAAACTGATGCAAAATCTTGCCTGTAAGCACTTTTCCTATTTATATAGGATACCTCCTTTTGAAATTAACATCTCATATCCCCTTAGCGGAACTGATTCTCTAGCTGTACACAATTTTGTCCAATCAGAACCAAGTCTTATATTAGACTAAAGGCAGCGGCCAATCCCGTGGAGATCTACGGATGTCCACTGATCTCAATACATTCAGGTGCCGACGCTGTGGATCATGACTGGCTGAGGGTGATAACTAATTTAGCCAATTACAATCTCATAGGATCCTTTTCCTTGAAAGAAGACAGCCGCGTGACGCTGCCATAACGGGCAAACGCCCCGGGAGCCGGCTTTGGAAGTTTACCAGTTCCTTCGTGGACGAGTTGTCGAGCTGTCTTGTGTGTAATGGATTTTAAGCAACACAACATGACCACGCTCAACAGACAGCAGTACTACAATTGGGTATCCCTATATTAACCCTTGATAGACGGCAGCAGAAGACCAATATGGTAAGTATTGTCGAGCTCCCGACTGTTGCTATATGTCCGCGCAATGGAGAGATAAGGGCATAGGATCTGCGCTTTTACACTCTTGCCTCTGCCTTGCAGTACTTCATCCGCAAACATGGTTCTATGATGCGGCTCCGCGGCACACTAGGACGCCGCCGCCGAAAGCACATGCAGTTCAGTTCGCACAAGTACGCACATCTGCAAGGGGGCATCATCTCTCGCTCTCCAGTTCTGCAATGTCATCCGGGTATCACATCATGTACCTCTGCCGGCTCCCCTCGCAAAGTTGGATTGGTGATTGTTGGCATGTACAAGTACTGTTCTGTACGTACCTGTCAAGGCCTTGCAAGTCAACATGGCAAGGCGTCCATGTATCCAACAAGGGCAGCAATCTTGTTAGTGTCATTCAGCGGCAGGGCAAACAGTGGTCTGTGCCCTGCGACTCTTGATATCCGACTCCGCTGCGGGCGAACTACTCCGTACTCAGTACAAGTCGTAAAGACATGCATGAGCCATGTCGCCCGCCGCTTTGCTATACTACAATGCAGGACGCCACCGAAATCCTGCTTCCCGCGAGAGGAGAGCCCGCTTCACCTCGTCCATATACGAGTGTTGCTACCACTGAGGATGCGATAAGTACCAGCCCTGCTCCAAGACATGCAGGGCCTAGCTTTCTGGTTCCCCCCGTGGTTTAGCCTCTTCATGTTCCGTCCCCCTAAGCATGGGTTTAAGCTCTCCACTTATTCGAAAAGCGACTCGATTCCTATCTCATGCCGGGTACCGCACGCCGCCTTAATAATCGCGGCTCGTCTCGTTAACGTGGCCAGGTCTGAAGTGTGGTGACGCTGCTTGCTGCTGTGAGAATGGATACCTACCCAGCTCTAGGATGTCTATCTTATACCTTACTGTAAGGTAGGTGCTTGTACAGTACTATGCCCGCTGTTGGCCCACTTACCATCCTAGGCAAAGCAACGGCCTTGGGGGGTTGACAAAGCATACCTCCGGCACTTGGCACCTGTGTGGATCAGGGACACTGGGAAGAAGAAAATAAAGAGTCTGGTCGATAATCATGGGGGAATAGGTCACCGCCAAACCAAAATAATGCGCCTCCCGTAATCACGGCTCCACCCATCGCCCATCATTTTTGGGCTCGTCCTCGCCTGGGCGGCAAGAGAAGCTCTCTGAAAGGCTGGGCTGGAGACAGTCCAAGGTCCAATACAACTCCCTGGGGCGCCATGCAGCCAGCATCGGCCTATATCCAGCGAATCGTCTTCTTGCGTCGCCCATCCATAGCAACCCTGCGGGCTTCCAATTAGCGTCCAGGTTGCAGGCCAAGCCACTTTATCACGACTTTTTTATTTATTTTTTGAATTTTTATTTTTCATTCAATCAGTTTTCTCTCTTTGCGCACACCCCTCCCCCTTCCCCTTCTAACTCTTCCTTTCCGGGGTTTCTCTTCACGGTGTAGCTCCAAAAGTTGGGAAGGGGAGCTCTCCTTCGTCCACAGCCCCAAAAGGGACTCTCGCCATCCCCACGTTTCTACTTTCTTACCCGTTTTTGCTGCGAAAAAGGCGGCCGCAGATCGAGAGGCCCTCGGTTATGCAGGACCAAAGCATATCGGCCCCGGGGATTGGGCCATGACCACCAACTACAATTTATGCTTTTCTGGTTTTTTTTCCCACTCATATCCTCAGCTACTGAACCAGGCGTTATACAAAAACCTGGCCAGAAGTCGACTTATATGGTGAATCAATCTGCGAGTTCCGTCTCTGCAGGCTCCAGTCCTTATGTACCGCCCATATGTGTGTGTACTTGGTGGTTGGGAGAGGGATATTAGACACTTCTCATTTCTCCTCAGTGCAGAACAGAGCGCACAATGTACTATCAAGTACCAACTACAGCTCTTCCGAGCGGAAATAAGCCGACTACCCTGTCACCAAATCGTGTCCGGTAATTCTCTTTATTTGATTTTTTTTCCTGTTCTGTTCTGTCGCTGTAGCACCAGCTGCTGCTGTCGTTACATACACCAATCTACTCCATCTGGTCCACTGGATTCCATTGCCGCCGATCCTCATCGTTTATTCCCTCCTGCGACTTGCCGAGCGGCGAGTGTCTGCGCATTGACCGGCAGCTAATAGTATTCTGCTCGTGCAATCTGCCGTGTCAATGCCGCCGCATAGCTGCCGTCTATCCCCTGTTTTTGTCCCGGTCTGTCGTCTGTCGTCCAGCAAAAAAACCTTCCTGAAATGGAAATTCATGTAGCAGAGCCTGTACTCTAAGCCTGGTTTTTTGAGCGGGATTTCTGCTTTGTCCAGAATCAGAGCATCCTTTGCGGACAGGTAAGGAAGATAACGTCCTTGGAATGCACGGGGACCGAAAGAACGCTGTCCCTCACCTATCCGCCTGATTGCCCACCATGATGTTGGGCTTTGAGATATTAATCATCGCTTGATAATGGTCACTAGGATTGGCTATATTAGCTTTTGCACGTTCATTCCAAACACTGTTCAATATAACAGCGGAAAAGTAAAAAGTAAAAATGGAAATGCGCCAAGAAACATGCTCATGCATTCCTCTCCCTGCGAGAGCAGCTTCGAGGACTGCTGGGGCAGGTTATGAATGGAAGCGTAAAACTTACCAACGTCTTCATCTTCCAGCTCATGCGCCAAACCAACTCTCTGTGGCTGATGCTTTACCGACTTGCCATAAACAACAGCCGACTTGAATTGCTCCACGATGCTTCGGTGAATGGCGTTGCACTGGATGTTGTGTATCCCATATTAGTCAAAAGAGTAATGCGCATAGGGCGTGGCGTGTGTCCAATTTGCAGGGGGTTTCTTTCAGTTACTCACAAAATCTTCCACCGTGCATCTCGATGCTCTGAGTACAACCGGGGCTGAGTAGTCGGGCGCTCTACCCTTGGGCTTTGTATACACTCGTTTCAGGCTCAGCTTCTCCCACATGGATTCCATGAGCTCGTCAATGTTCCATCCATGCTCTGAGCTGATGGGAACGGCGTTGGGGATTCGGTACAACAGATCCAGCTCTTCGATACTAATCGAGTCAATCTTGTTGAGGCAGTAGACTACCGGGATATAACTATTCAACAAATATTAGCAGCAATCCTACGTCCACATGCCGCCGCTGCATGAGAGGTCTCGTGGCTCACCTTCGGCTCTTTGCCTCGATGATATCAATGAGATCATCAATGGTGGCATCACATCGAATAGTAATGTCGGCCGAGTTGATACGGTACTCGCTCATGACGGCCTTGATCTCGTCGTGGTCGATGTGTGTAAGGGGCTGAGTGCTCGTGATGTTCAGGCCACCCTTGTCCTTCTTCCTGAAGGTGATGTTCGGAGGCGACTTGTTGATACGGATACCGAAGCCCTCCAATTCAGCTTCTATGACTCGTTTGTCCGTCAGGGGCTTGTTGACGTCCAGCACAATGAATATCAAATGGCACGTCTTGGCAACGGCAATGACCTGGCGACCTCGTCCTCGACCATCCTTGGCTCCCTCGATAATTCCAGGCAAATCAATCATTTGCAAGGGGGCACCTGCACGCATATGCAGTCAGTTCCTTCGTCCTTACAGTACGGCCAAACAAAATAAAAAAGCAAAGAAAAAAAAAACGCCACCACGGCCCAACAGCCGTTCTAGCTTGGGTTCGTTTAAGCACGGCAACACACCATTATACATGACCTGGCCCGGCACGGACGTCAGGGTTGTGAACTCGTATGCTGCGGCCTCGGAGTGCTGGCCGGTCAGCCTACTCATCAGCGTACTCTTGCCCACCGATGGGAAGCCGATGAAGCCAACACTGGCCACGCCCGTCCTGGCCACGTCGAATCCTGCGCCGCCACCACCGCCGCTGCTGCTGGGGGTGAGCAGCTCGCGTTTCAGCTTGGCTAGTTTGGCCTTGAGCTGGCCCAAGTGATACGACGTCGCTTTGTTCTTTTGAGTCTTGGCCATCTATGCGCAGGGGGAAAAAAGCAAAAACAATGTCAGGATCTCTGTTCTGTTCTGTTCTCTTTCGCAATCGAGTGCTTCACGCCGGTCTTCGGAAATGGCACATCGTCGCTAGGGGTTATCGATTCGCGGAAAAACATACCTCGGCCTCGATCTCTTTGATCTATCATCCCCCATTGTCAGTTCATTCATTCTAGTCGGAAAAGATGCACAAAAAAAGCAAGAGGCCATACCTTTTCCACAGTCGTCGACATGATGCCGGTAGTGCCCAACTATGCTGCTACAGTCTCCTCTAATGCTCCCTTCTTCGGGTTACGCTTCTCCGATACGTAAAGCTTGTAGTGGTCGTAATGTTTGCGGGCGTCGCTTTTTCCTTTGTTTGTTGAGGCGGAAGGCCAGCCAAAAGTCTGAATCTGGTTATGCCAAACTTGTTTGTGCGTGGTGGTGGTGGCATGAATATCTTTTGGATGGGATTTTGGTGGGGTAAATTTCTGGTTTGTGGCTTGCGGGTGGCCAATGATGTCAGCGCTTTTACCAGACCAAACCGCTTTGGGGAAGCTGGTATTTTATCATCATAATGTGTTTTTTTCTCCTAGTCTTTTGCCCAAGTATTACTTCTCGTTATACCATTTACTGCGCATAGCTCATCTTGTTTTGTTGGTTGTATAATATTACGTGTGGTATATCTACATATACAGCTCCTCTTAGCATCAATGCATCATACATACAGCCAGCATACAGCATACTAGTAAAGAGCCGAAAACCTCAGCTACATTTAAAACACACAAGGCTATTGTCGTCCATGTATCTTCATTACCAATTGTTTCCACCAAATGAAGAGAGAGAGAGGGATGGAGGGAGAGAGGAATGTGAAAAAGTGAAAACCCATGAAGAGCTGTTCTTCATCCCATCTCGCTTTGCCGATAAAATAATAAAAACCTGACATGAAAAAGGTACGAGATAAAAGAGGAGAAAAAGAAAACGCCCTTCGTTGCACATACAAAAAAAGAGTTACCTTTCTTTCCATTTCCATTTCTTCACACCCATGCATGTCCAAAAAGAAAAAGAAAAACACATAGGACAATTCCTATAGCAGCATGTGAACATGCCACGCAAAACAAGCAAACTTGTCCAAATATACCCGTGTGGCCATGCATACCATTGCACTCCGTCCAAAAGCTACATAAGTAGCAGAAAAAAGGGCAAGAAAACAGGGCAAGAAAAAAGGCAAAAGGCCTTTTTCCCCTCTTTTTCTCTCCCAGTTCTGCTCATGCTGTAAAAAGAAATCTGTTGCAGAAGACTCCCGTGTGTCCTGTCAACCAAGATAAAAAGTCATCCGCCTCCTGCTTTTTGGAAGTCACCTTGAGAAAAACGTGTTTCGCATTGCATGTTGCAATTGCATCAAAAATTGTGCGTAATATTTGCGCGTGTGTACAAGGAAGTGCGCGGTGTTTCGTCCTTTTTGTTTCCCCTTTAGCCTCCACGTCTATAGACATTTACATGAAAGCCAAATAAAAGAGATAAGTAGAAGAGATAGAAGAAATAGGAACAAGGGAGGAGAATAAACCAGAATTCAAAGCAGAATGTGCCGCACAGATCTGTACAGCTAGAGTTGGTTTCATAAACATTTCCCTCCTCGTCCAGACCAGTTCTCTGTTGTTTTCATCAACTGGTCGATCCATCAAATACCATTAATTTGATCACTCTCCGCTATCGCTTCAGCTTTGACCCTATCCGGGCTGGTATGTCCATTTGTACCGTTGACGTTCGGCCTCGCCCGGGGGATCGAAGTTGGGCTGATTGGAGATGAATGGATGCCATTTGGAACCGGCGAAGGGCTCTTTGTATCTTTGAGGAGATGCCCAAGACCTTGGTTCATACAAATGACATTGTAGTCGGTGTCGTCGGGATAAGCACGAACTAGTCCCCGCCGAGGAACTCGCACCTCTGGAAAGGGGGTTGAGCTAGTTTGGGAAAGGGTAGGCAGCTCTTCCCCGACAAGGACTCCATTGACGTAAAACTTGAATCGTGGAGCGAGACCATGATAGCGGCTCACATCTGGATCTCGCTTCCACTTCGTAAATGTCCTCCATCCTTTGGCCTGCTCCTCGGTTTCTAAGAGCTCGCAGTACTCCACGCCTAGTTTGATGCCTCGCAGGTGTGATATACTGGGTACAACATACATAAAGTCAGAGACCTAATATTGAAGTTAGTAAGAATGACCTTGGATAGAAACAGAGAGTATGTTTATATGGCGACCTACCTTCACAAAGAACATATCCATGGCTTGAAACTTCTCCCATGCCTCCTGTTTGAGCCGATCTCTATTGTCATAACTCAGGCTATGGGGTTGCTCATCGCCGTAACACCCAGGCAGCTGCTCGCCAAGCTCCCAAAGCTTCTCAGAAAACAGACTGTATCGACTCCACTCTGTCCTCCAAAGACTGAACTTGGCAATCGGAGTAACGGGTACGCGTGCCCAAGAAGAATCTGTTGGTGCGTCAGTACTCAAGATATACTAATCAGAGAGATACGCTAAAAAAATATTCCTTAACTTACATTTAGGGAGATCCAAGTCTTTCTCTCCCAGCAGCAGAGCGACGTGCGTGTTAAGAAGCCACAATTCGCGGCCCTCAGGGGTATTGTTCGCCTCGGGACGGATCGTGTCGTATCGAGCACCGCGCATATACTTGAATTTTTCGGCAATGGCTGTGGTCTTGGGGTTGGACGCTGTGCAGAGCCATCGCATCAACGGGGGTAACTTCTCCAGCCGAGCACGTTCTTGTTCTTCCCGCAAACGTTCTTGCTCTTCGCGGCGCTCCTGTTCTTCACGCAGGCGGCGTTGTTCTGCTTCTCTGGCAACACGTTTTCGCTCCAGTTCTTCTCGTTCGGCGCGTTCCTGGCGTTCACGTTCTTGGCGTTCTTCTTGTTCGCGTTGCTGCCGAGCCTGAGCTGCTTTGCGTTCTAATTGTTCTTTGTGAAGTCGCTCTTCCTCTTCTTGTCGCTTTCGCTCTTCTTCCTCTTTCTCTTCCTTCTCCTTCTTCCTCTTCTCTTCCTCTCTCTTCTTCTCCTCCTCTCTTCTCCTTTCTTCTTCTCTCTTTTCCTCCTCTCTCCTCCTCTCCTCTTCTTTCTTCATCTCCTCTTCTCTCTTCTTCCTCTCTTCTTGTTCTTGCTTCCTCTTCTCTTCTTCTAAGCGGCGGTTCTCTTCTTCATGTCGACGAGCCGCTGCTTCTTCGGCCTCGCGCCGTTCCCGCTCTTGCTCACGAAATTTATTATTACGCGCCTCTTCTTCTTCCCGCTTCTTTCGAAGCTCTCGTTCTCGGTCACGTTCCCGATCTCGCTCGTCCTGTTCCTTCCGTTTTTTAGTGTCTTCCTCGCGCTGGCGGATCTCTTCAGCTTCTCGTTTCCTCCTCTCTTCAATTCTGGCGCGTCGTCGTTCATCTTCCTTCACAGCGTCTTCTCTATCGGATACCTCCTTCTTCTTAGGCTGTTCCTCTTCGTTTTCCCGAGTCTTTCGCTCCCGAGGTTTCGGGTGCTCCTTAACCTGATGTGCGTCCAGCATTTCAATATCTTCATCTTCTTGCTTGACTCGTATCGATTTCTCGCCAGAAGTGACTCGAGAGGAGTCTTTTCGCTTGGGCTCTCGCTCATCGTGACTGCCCCTAGGATCTTCCTCGCGATTTCTCCGGGGGAGGAGAGATGAAGATTTGGATGTATTATCTCGTGATATACTAGCTTTACGAGGCTTCACTTCTTCAGAGACGGGCCGTCTTGGCAGTCGTTTCTCCTGGCTGTCGCCCTCGAGTCTTCGGCGCTTTACAGGTGCATCGTCCTTGTCAACATCGCTTGGCCGATCAGGTGTAATGCTATTTCGATGCCGTTTGGTAATGCCGTCTCCAGATACCGATAGACGATCCCTCGATTCATCGCGCTTCAAAGCTTTTGTTCTGTCGTGGTACTTTTCAGATAGCTTAGGTTTGTCTGCACCGTCTTCATGTCTTGGTTCGCTAGGGCTCGACGGCTCTTTCGCTCCAGATGATGTGGTGGAAGCCAAACTGCCACGCTTCTGCCTCTCTCGCTCATCCCGTAGTTCGCCTTTGGATATCAGCTTTCTTCTGGGTTTGACGGTTTCTCCTTCTGAAGAGACGCCGGTGGCATCCGATTCGGTTCGTTTCGGCTTGGCCACCCCTTTACGAGCTGGAGGAGCTGGAGATGTCTCACGATCTGAGGCATTTGAGACTGCGTTGTCGTCTTTCCTTGGTCGCCCAGGACCTCTTTTTTGAGAGCTTTCGTCGCCACCGCGGCCGGTGAAGGAATCCGATCTCTTCTTGTCCCTTATAGGCGCCGCCTCTGTCTTAATGGTTGAAGCCTTTTTAGGCTCTCGGGAAGGGCTGGTGGCGCTTCGCTTATGTGTCCGTGCGTCGTCTTTGGCGTCGTCTCTCTTGCTTCGTTTCTCTTCCCTTTCTCGCTCCCTCTCTCTGCGGCCAGGCGACTTTGCCCTAGCAGAGTCTTTGTGCGTTCGTTTGTACTCGTCATAGGCGTTCTTCAACATGTGCTCCTCTTCTTTCCAATTGGAACCTTGTCGACGACGGGCAATTTCGTAATAGGTCTCTCCCTTGAATCTTTTCGTAGGATCAAAATTATGTTGTTCCAAAAGCAATTCGACAACTTTGATATTCTCTTGGCCAATAGCCGCGAGCATTGGCGTCGCAAATTCTGGCTGTAAAGACCTGACCGGAAGCGGGTCTGCACTGGCGCCACCGAGGCCCAACAGAAGTTGAATCACCAGGTCATGGCCTCCTCTTGCCGCGGCCACCATGGACTCGGGGTCATCAAACCCCTCCTTGACCTGCAGGATGCGGGCTACCGTCTCTTCATCACCACGGCCAGCAGCCTGCCGCAAGGTTTTGTCGTCCAAGGGCATGTAGAGCAAATCATTTCTCGTCTTGGTTGAGCGGACGGTTCCTGTCCTGCGTCCTGTCGTCATTGTTGCGGCAGGGGAACGGCGAGGGCTATCAAGCGTATGAGAGTCTCGCTGGTCGTGATAATCGTGAGAATGGCGGTCTTCGGAGGTCCGTCGCCGTTCACCCTGCCGCTTTTTAGCTGCCAAGAGCAGTTCGCGGATCTCGTCGCCATTCTCAGTGTCTTCCGTAACTCTATCGATAGGCTCTTCGCCATTGACGTTAGCTTTACGTGGGTTAACGCCCGCTTCTAGTAGAAGCTTGACGACGCCCACGTGGCCGTTATCAACAGCGTCTAGTAATGGAGTATCCTTATCGTAATTGACGCAGTCAAGATTGCAGCCAGCATCGATAAGCAGCTTGACGATGTCCTCGCAACCATTAATCGCGGCAATTTGCAAAGGCGTGTTCCCGGCATAGTCTGCCACGTTCAAGTCCTCGGGACGATCAGTGAGCTTGCTCTTGGCAGTCTCGTATTCTCCACGAGCGCAAGCTCGAGCTAACAAGGTTTGGCCGTGTGCATCGAGGTGTTTCTTGTGAGGCGCCATTTTTACGGGCGAGGCATGAGACTCTGGTATGGCCGGAGTAGCAAGGCCTCGTAACTTGGAGCTGCGGGGATGAGGGCTCCCGCTAGCCGAGGATTCGTCAGAATGGTAGTCTGCAGAGTAAAGGGGGGGCGGTAAACGCTTCTTCTTGAGACTGCTAGAAAGATGATGTGCAGGCAATTGTGTGGAGACGCTTCTACGATGCTGTCGAGGGTGAGGGGAGATGGAGCGTGTCCGCGTGCGAGATTCATGCTGGGATTGCTTCGATTTGGATTCCTTGAGGGAGCGGCCGTTGTCGAGGCTGACGCTTGTGGTCCGCTGGCGGCGAGCCTTTCGCTGATCACCTTCGTCGTCGGACTCGGCCTTGGGAGCCTTTCGCTTGTGAGGCACCAGACGCTCTCCAGACTTGAGCTTGTCGCGCAGAGACGACGAGACGGGCTTGGAGGGGGCGTGGATGCCTTCAGAGTCTGAGGGTGAGGCGACGGCCACGGCGTCAGATCGCCGGCGGCGGTGAGGCGGAAGCGGGTGCTGTTGACGCTGGTGGTTCTGACTGTGGGGAGGCGAAGTCGGTGCAGAACTCAGGCCGCTCGAGGCGCCGTCCTTGCTGCGAGGTTGGCGGTCCTTGTCGACAGGGCCCGGCAGCCGTTTCTTGACACCCTCGGGCCGGCTGCCAGCTGCGTTCTTGTCGCCCTGGTTACTGGCCGCCGGCGGCTGGCCGTTGCCTCTGGCCGAGTCGGCGTCGCTCTCGCTCCGGTCCTCCTGCCTCACCTTTCGAACCTTTGAGGGCGAATGGCCATCCTTGCCCGGCAGCACAATCGTCTCGGCGTCTGAGTCGCGGTCGGCACCAGGTGCATCGTCGTGTCGGGCGGCCGTGGAGGACGACAGAGACGACGACTCCCTCGTCTTGAGCCTGGACGGCGACGATGGCCTCACAGAAGGGCGCGGCTTCGGGTCCGTGTCGGAGCCAGAGCCTCGTCGTGGGCGCTCGTGTTTGCTTTGCTGCTGCTGAGTGGGAGGGCCAGCATGCTTGAGCGTGTCGGACTCGGCAGCATTCTGCGCGTCCATGACATTTATCTTCGAGAATTGCCGGTGGCTACCACCATCATGGAGATGAAAGGAGTGTCGGCAGCGTGGACGCCGCAGAAGAGGCCGATTGATCTGGGCACGTCGACCGCCACGTCAGAGCTGCTGGCAATAGCCACCTGCGCAGATGGATCAGATGGAATGGGGGCAGAGGGCCTAGCAGCCGGGGGACTTTAGGCACGACAGCACCGGGAGGTAGCAGAAGCAGCAAGCCGTTTAGGGTCGGTAGGTCGTCCAAGCCGGAACGGAGAGAAATGAAGGGAAAATATGATGGAGAAAATAGAACTAGAGCTGCTACAATGATGCTGGTGGGTGTGCGGCGAATCCAAGTGGCGGGACACGAATCGATGCTGGTTTTTTCCTCTCCTCGGTCGGGTGTCGAGAGTGCAAAAAGAACTAAGAGATCAATCACGAATCGATGAAGCGTGTTCACCGTAGCGCAGCTCAGGGCACGGAGTACGGAGAGCTGTTAGTACTAGACGTGGGAGCTGGGAAAAACATTGAATCCAGTTCCATGTTGGAAACTGCCGGGGCTGGGAGCTGGGGGGGCCACAAGTACACGGCATGTACTGCTGCCACTCTGCCTTAGTACGCATACAGAACAAGGACTACAGGTGCAAAGTAAGACAGCGTGCAATAGCGGCCTTTGGGGCCAGCGCTAGTAGTGCTGGGTGCTGGTGCTCGGCACGTACCCACAACGCCAGTGGCCGCGAGGGGTACCTGCGAGTACCGAGCCAGAGGAGAGCAGGCTGGAGCTACGGACGAAAGCACGAGGTGCTAATGATGGTGCCGGACTAGCGAGGTGCAAGTGGACAGCGCAGCACGGCACGGCAACGCAGCGGCAATTGAAGGCAGCAACAAGCAGCAACAAGCACCAGCAACCAGCAAAAGAAGCGACGCAAAGAGGCAAAAAGAGCAAAAGGCAAAAAACCAGACGCAGCGACCACGCAACTGGGTCTGGAAACAGGGATGCATTTCGAAACTCAACCGCTCGCTGCCGCCCGCCTGATTGGCCGTCGCCGCCAGCCGCCCCAGCCGGTGCAGCGCCATCGCGGTGCAGTTGTGCGGCCGAAACAGCGGACCTCCAGCCTAAACAAACCCTGTCGAGCCCTGCCATCCCGCGTTGCCACCCTCCAAAGCCCCCTCCAAAAGGCCCTCCCAGGCCGCGGTGGTGCAGCAGGCCCCGCCATCCACCAATCACCGCTGCCGGCCGCGCCGGTAGTCCTCGAGCGCACTGCGGGTTTCTGGGCTTGAAATACGGGTGCCGTCGCCTCGATTTGCGAGCTCGCGGCGACGAAGAAGAAGAAAAAGGGAAACTACAGAACAGGGCAAAAGCCAGAGAGCGCATGCTTGCCCTTGCTTTTGCGTCCGGGGAGGAGCCGCGGCGTGCTGGCGCTGCGCATTTGCTCGCTGCATCATCGCCAATGCCATGCTGCGCTCTTTTGGTTCCAGCCCTTCTGTACGACCTGCAGCCAGCACAGCACGAGAGGGTCGAGTCTGACTGCCGGAGGCGGCTCAACGCGACGCCCCCCCAAACGCAAATGCGCTGTGCTGTGCTCGCTGCAGGCCGATAACAACACAGCAGCCCAGCACTCGGCTAACCCTAAACGGACGCCCGGACTGGCATTTGCTGCTGCGACGAGGAGGCAACAAGAACGTGAACGCTGCAACCCCCTAGCTGGATACGGCCATTCGCTGGCCATCACCCCATTGTCCCCCTCTTGCTTGCGACCGCTCGACGACAAACCAACCATCCATCGCTCGTTGCTCTGATCCGGACGGGGCTCTCGCGTTGGACCAGTCAGACCGTGGCGTCGCTCGCCGCCGCCTCTTGTTTACGATCTCCTGTTGCCTGGAATCCTGACCATGGCGGCTGCAGGCTGCAGTGACGGCGATGCACGGCTGCCGTCGTCTCTCGACGCAGCCAAGATCACATCGCTTCCGGCCACTGCCTATTATCTGCCCAACTTCATCAGCGAGGAGGAGGAGCGCATGATTCTCGATAAAGTGCGTCCGTTACCGCGACTTGTGCCGTCGAATCCTGCCTTTGACCTGCTGCGGCCGTGCTGATAACGAACCCCCCCGGCGTTCACTCCAGATAGCTACTGCTCCCCGGCCGCGATGGAAGCAACTCACGCATCGACGCCTACAGACTTGGCCATCGGATCTCGTCCAAAACAGGCTACTGGACGCACCGCTGCCTCAATGGCTCGAGACGCCCGTGGTGTCGCGGCTGCTGTCCCTCCCGCTCTCCGACGACAACGACGGCGATGCTGTGAGACACATATTCGCCGATAGCCCCCATCAGCGCCCGAACCACGTCCTCATCAACGAATATCCTCCCGGCATTGGCATTATGCCGCATAAGTTAAGTATTATGAACAAGTAGATGGAACCCTTCGAAATGCTCATCCACCCTAGGATGGCGCTGCGTATTGGCCCGTCGTGTGCACCGTCAGCCTGGGCGCCAGCATCTGTCTGAACCTGTACCGCAACAAAGAAGACGGCGCCCTTGACCCCGATCCTGCTTGGCGAATCATCCAGGAACCTCGTAGTCTTCTCATCACTACAGCGACTCTATATACGGACTATCTGCATGGAATATCCGACATCAAACAAGATATAGACCTATCCGCCGATACGATTGTAAATTGGCCGTTGCTTCGGGATCACGAGGCGTTTGCCAGCGGCCAAAGCGTGAGACAAACCCGCACTAGTCTCACGTACCGAGATGTCCTCAAAGTTTCCAAGGTTGGAAACAAGCTGGGTCTGTTCAACAAGCGATGAAAGCTCACTCAGGGCTTCAGGAGCAACGTAGTCTAGAATACAAACGGAATCATGGCCCATTTCCCAACCAGCTTGTCTGCACCAAATTTCTCGGCATACCACTTTTTCGTGCCATATGCTGTCAAACCGAGATTTGTCACGACGAACAGCAACACGTACAAGACAGATCTGTTAAAGAAGGTTCCTGGGGGCGCCGCAGCGACGGCAAGGCCCACGTAAACCAGGCATTCGAACGTGTAGTGGGGGCAAGCGAGGTACTGGAACCAGCCCTCGTTTGGAAGCGTGTATTTCTTGAGGCTCGCCAGATATCTGTGGCAGTTGTTTTGCTGAGCACCGGCAAAGCCAAAGATTGCGGCCCCGATTATGATTTGCGGTGTAAACTCAATTGGCTGTGGCGACTCCCACGATTTGAGGATTGCCCCTGAAAACTACTGTCAGCCTTGTTCCCAATGAAGAAATAAGCCACCCGCGAAAGTGTGGCCAAGACAAGAGACCAACCTGATCCCCGAATCCAGACGCTGATGCCCACAACTGTGTAATAGACTACTCCAAGAGCCCAGTGCAAGGCCGACATGGGAGATGATCCGGGTTTTGCGACGAAGAGACACTCAAACAGTCTTCTCGCTCCTTGGGTGCTCATCAGAAGCCAAGTCACCAGAGTGGCACTCAGGGTGACCTCTGGAGCTTGATCCTCCACTGCAGATCGATGCTGCATCTCAGCCATGGCCCGCATGATCGAGCCCTTGGAGATGTATTGCCAGCCCCAGAAGATTGACCATGACACAGATGCTATGTAGAAGTGTATGAACCACGAGTGAGGCACCTGTGCATAGCTTGTCAGCACCAGGAGAGAATCTGACTTTGCCTCGGCCTTCTGCCCAGGAGCTTGGCTATTCGGGCCATGCTGGGTATGTGCCGGCCTCCTGGCGCCGTATGCGAACAAGGCTTTGCGCGCATTTTCCGGGAGAACTTGCATCGAGAAGAGCATCGCGGAGCTGACTATGCAGAAAGCTTGGCACCATTCTGCTGGCGTCGTGCTGGCCATCTTGGTCACTTTTTGCTAACTTTCCAAGGGAACAAATCGATGTTTAGCTGCTAGGTTTGAACAGAAGATACAGACAAGAGACGCCCGGCGAAGGAACAAGGAGAGATGAGGCTATCAGCTTCTGGCTTCGCGGATGCACGGGGGCTGAGTATTGAGCAATTCAGGCCACATTCTACAGCTAGAAACTGGATGCCCCGCAAATTGCACATGACAGCCCCCCTTCTTTGAACGAGGACCTGCAAGCTCACCTGAATCAAGACTTCGAGCCGCGGCCGGCCGCATGCTAGGTATCAAACAAGACTAAGGGGAGCCGGCGCTGTGCCGCGGTGGGGTTGGGGGCTGCCTTGATTCTGCTTCTGTGCGAGTAGATTCTTGCGGTCAGTCTGCGGAAATTGTAATCAATTGTGTCGTTCAAAAGATAAGTCGAATAGCTATCAGAGGAGAGGAGTAGATAGTAGAAGCGACTCTGTCAGGGGCCAATTCGGCGGCACGGCAATGGCAGAGTTGACAATCGATGAAGTGCCGGCAATCGGGAGAGGAAGTGGATACGTCCATGTGCCACCTGTTATGCTCAAAGTCCAATGTGTCAATGTTCTAGATACCTCTAGATACCATGAACACGGCAGGTTAAACACTTATCCCGCCCATGTCTTCCTTAGCGCAGATACCTTCCTAGGTGGATTTTCTTTGTCTCGAATTCCAACTCTTCTACCTCTGGGTGGTCTAGTTGGTTCATGGCGTCTGACTGTAATGGATAACATCTCATCAGAAAGTCGGCGGTTCGATTCCGTCCCCGGAGAGTTCTTTCTTCCGGAGAAGAGTTACATTTTTGCTTTTTTAACCTCCTTTTTAATCTGTCAATATCGAAGCAACAAATATTTCCTCAATCTTCTATTTGGTAGAGTGTATGTAGGTAGCAGTAGGATGGTCGTCCAATAGAATGGCTGCTTGATGACGCATCTTGGAGAGCGACGTACGATACAGACAATTGCCCAGTTCTCTGTTCTCCCTGCATATACGAATTTGTACCCTAGCGTCATCTCACAGTCACGAACGAATTAGCATCTTGAAGCATTGTGGTGTCTTCAGCGTGTATAGAAGAACTATGTTTAATCACGTGGGACAGGATGCTCAAAACTGGCTTCATGTTGCCGGTCAACGTGATACTTTTCCTGGTTGGTGCCATGCGCTGCTCCTGCCTGCGCCTACCAATATTTCCTACAATTTCAATCACAGCAAAAATCGGCAAAATGTTACTTTGACCAAAGATTTATTCATTTCACTCCATCAGATGAACTTTCTATATACCATACCATACCATACCGTACCATACCATATCCAATGTCCCAAATCGGTATCCCTTGATTTCCCGATATCCCACATCGCCAGTTCCCATATCCATCATGCCATGCCAGGCTTTCAATCACAAAATGCGCCTTTACCAGCCCCATGTCTTGCATTGTTGCTTAGGGTTCACATTCTTGTTCACAGCCAGACAGTCTTGGTACTGGGCCTGGCACTTCTTGGCCGCGTTGGAAGGAGTGTTGTCTCCAAAGCCCCATTTCGCTGTAAACTGGCTGATGCCGAGTAAACGCTTGGCTGCCTCGCCGCGCTTGAATCGACCGCTGGAGCCCTGCTGGCAACCCTGCTGGTAGACATTTGTGCATTGCGTGTATTGCTCCTTACACGCATCTGAACAAGCATTGCCGCAGCCTGAGGGAGGGTACGAGGGGCACTTCTGGCTGTTCTGGTTGATGTACAGCTTGAAAGGGTTGGTGCGCCAGTCGCTGTAGATGTCATTGCAGCTGACAAGAGGCAGAGAGATGCCACCGACGGGGTTTCCTGGACCGTATCCGTACTTGGAGTTGGAAGGCTGCGTGCAGATGTTGGTGGGAGGAGGCGGGCACTGGGTAGGCGTCGTTGAGGTGGCCGGAGGCTTGGTTGTCGTGGTCGCAGAGCATGGAGTGACGGTGGTAGTCGTCTTGGGAGGACTGCCACCCTGGCCGGGGTTGTGGTTCCAGCAGTCGCCCTTGGAGCATTTCCCGAGCACACAGGTCGTACTGCAGTACTGCGCAATGCCACTGCACCACAGGCCAAAATTGAAGCATTGGAGAGCGCCGGGAAAGCCAGCCTGAGAGAAGCAAGAGGCGACACCAGCAGCACAAGTAGCATAGGCCTTCAGACAGTCCTTTTGATTGTTCCAGTCGGGCAGAGGAGGGAAACACCAGTCACCGCACTTGTACTCGCAAGAAGGTGGAGTGGTGACGGTAGCCGTGCACAGAGAACTGGTGGTCCTGGTGCTAGTACTTTTGGAGGTTGTAGTGGTAGTGGTAGGGGGAGGGGGCGGTGAAGTAGTGCTCGTGGAAGTTGTGGAAGACGTTGAAGACGTGGAAGACGTGGAAGTCGTTTCGCAATCGTCTGTGGTTGAGGTTGGTGGAGGAGGAGGCAGCGATGTTGTAGAAACTGAAGAGATTGTGCTGGTGCTAGTGGGAGGCAACGATGTCGTTGAGTCTGAAGAGGATGTGCTGGTGCTAGTGGGAGGCAGCGATGTTGTTGAGTCTGAAGAAGTTGTGCTTGTGCTAGTGGGAGGCAGCGATGTTGTTGAGTCTGAAGAAGTTGTGCTTGTGCTAGTGGGAGGCAGAGATGTTGTTGAGTCTGAAGTTGTGCTGGTGCTAGAAGGAGGTAGTGTTGTTGTCGAGACTGAAGAAGTTGTGCTGCTGCTGGAGGGAGGCACCCAGCCACATGGCTCCAAAGACTCAAGATCTGTGGCAATGTACAGGTCCAAGAGTCCACGTCCACCGCAGGTCTCTGAGGAGTTGCCTTTGCAGGCAAAATTACACTGCGAGTCGTCTACCTTTACGGTGCTGTTTGCAAGAACGTTACCACACCAGCATTCGCTTCCATACTCGGTACCAGCCAATGGGAAGCCTTCTGCCTCACAGGCAGCCAAGCAAGACTCGGTGGTGAAGGTGGAAGAGTCAACGTTTGCCGACCAGGAAAGGGCACGACCTTGTTGCGAGTTGTCCGAATAGCAGCCAGCAGCCTTGTAGTCACCGATAGTGACCTGTTTGGTAGGGAATGTCGGGTCTTGCCAGACGGAGAGGATGTTGTTTCCACCACATGTCTCAGATTTGTTGCCGTTGCAAGGAAAGCTGCACTGAGAGTCATCGAGCTGAGGTCCGTCAACAGTGCCACCACAGAAGCAAACACCATAGTACTCGAGGCCAGCATAACGGAAGCCATTGCCTATGAAGAGCAGAGTGTTAGCTCATGGTCGTACAACAAACAAGAAACACTCGTCCGAATGGTTTACGAACCTTTGCATTCTGAAACACATTCTTCCACAGTCATATTGTTCGAAGGCAAAGTTGAGCGGAAGATGAGAGCATTAGGATTACCAGGGCCGCCATCTTGAAAGCAACCGGAGTAGACAAAAGGTTGAAACTTGTCCAGGCAAGGAGGCAACTCCACGTTCCAGGCATGCGTGGATGTCACAAGTGAGAGCGTGGCAACCGCGGCCACGAGGGACCGGGAGAAAGACATTTTGATAACGAGGCTTCTAAAAAAGGCTTGAATCACTGAGCAATGCTTATCTAAGAGCTCGAGTTACTGAGGTTGGCAGTGACAAGCAAGTTAATCTCAATAATCGACGGTGGGATCCAGAGCTTTATATACATATCGACAAAGGGCTATCTCCTACTGAGATTATATACAGCACGAAGGCCGGCCTCCCCTTATGTTGACCATATCCGCTCACCATCTACGGCATCCGACTTGGACTTTGGGGTCCAATTTCTCAGATATCACCAGATCGGGCGGAAGTATGCCCCTGTTCCCGAGGGAGATGCGCCATGCCGTTAACCCATGTCGTCCAGGTCAACTTAACTGCCTAGCTAAGACTACTAAGCATTAGTGGACAGGACAAAATGGAAATAGGCAGCAATCCTAACAACCAAAGATTTGTTGCCAAGCCCAGTGCCGATGTCCGTCCAGCCGCTTTGTGCTCCATACTACCAGCACTAATAGTAGGACTGGCTGGTCTGCAAGGGAAGAGCAGCATTGATGCAAGGACAGGCCAAGGCATTCTGCCGTACCCTTCAGGTCAAGACAAGAGGAATCTCACTCGTAGGATTGTTGAATAGAGACGACTGATGGATGGCAGCTCTGCTCAGCCAAAAGGAAGCGGAGACACCACCAACACGCCCATAGTTGGATATGCCTGCATACGTTAGACTGCATTAACTCTTTTATAAAGAGCACATATCAGATTGGCTAAGCTATTACAGGACAGAACGCGAGAAGGGACCTCTGGAAGAAAAAAACCTACCGTTTCAATGCTACATTACTCCGCCGGTAGGCATGGGCTAGAAACGTGGAGACTGTCTCTTAATTGAGTACTAGTATCTAAAAAACCTTACCGGTCAGTATTCTTAGATGTGGATGAGAATCTCATGCTTATCTGATTCTCGTGGAATCTATCAGCTAAAACAGTATTCATAGGTACCAATTCTATCTTGTTATAAGCTCGTGACGAGCTATGCTGATATCCAAAAATAAAATTGCATATCGCTAATAGCGAAGTGATCTCGGAACAGGCGCTCAACGCATCGTGATAAAAGGCCTTGACAGACGAATATTGAGTAATGGAAAGGTATAACAGCTGGTGACAGACTGAAGTGAAAGCAAGAATGCGTAATCCAAAGCGCAAGATACAAACAGTGATTGGGTGGAAACATGACCGGGCGTTTCCGAACATGCATATAGACGGCGTTCTGGACCTCTCAGCCTCTTTCGATCCTTCTCGGGACCCGATATTGTTTACCTTCTTCCGCCAGGAGGTTGGCTGCCGTTGGGGCTGGGTCACGGCGCAAGCAGTTTTCGTGTCAGACTCTGCACACATACTACACTTAAGCATATTACGACTACCTACTCGTACACAAATACCCATGTACGATACTAGTGCCACGATTTTCAGCTCTGATGCCGGGGCATCGGGGCTTTACGATGAGCGAATAAGCACGCTAGGCAGGCTTTGCTTCAAAGATTGAAGCCCGCAGTGGGTCTCTTTCCCGGTTTCTCAACTGACAGGTAGGTAGGTATTGGACGCAGTTCAGAGGTGCAGAAGGGCAAACTGAAGAAGCATCCCAAAGACACTGGCCAAAGATATGACTAACTAGTCAACCAGCTTATGGAAAATCAACAAAAAGCGTCTTTGATCTTTCAGAATCCATGATTGGTCGATCACATCTAGCCGCGTGCCGCGTCAGAGGCAATATCAAGCAGCGTCTCAGCTACTGAGTAGCTCTACGGTGGAGGGTAGCATCACAGGCCAGTATTGCTACCGTAAAAGAAATAGGCATAGGCCGAAGTGGGCACAAGGGAGCATACAAAGTTCGCTGCCAGCTCATCGTGCGTCTCAGCGCAGTTGTTTGTGTAGCAGAGCTGCATTCATCCCACGGCTACAGAATACGAGCAGACTGTAGTCTCTGTGTCTTCTTTGCCGGGGTGGAGATCGCGTGTTGGCGGCATGTAAGGTGAGCCGTGTGGAGGAGCATCGTTCGATATGCATGCGCTGAGAGAAGCAAAGGCCAGACCGGCTATCCGACATCCACCGCCGCTCGGTGCTGCTAAGAATAGAATCGGTCAATATGGAATTTGTACGACCACCACACTCGTATTGTCTCTGAAGGGCGTGGCCCTGGTCAGTTTTAAGCGTCAGCTGTGAGGTTGGAAAACAATCATTTAACATCGGGCTGAGGTCTCAGATTGATAAGCAAACCATCAATATTAACTTGCAGAGTCTCAGATACAGTAGTCAGACACTACGCAGATCGATCTCCGTCTCCATCAGCCCACCACGCCTACTAGGTTCAGGATCAGATTCAGGTTGAGAATCCTGCCGCACAAAGTGTGTGCTATTGGGCATGCCATGCAAGGTGGAGCCAGCGCCAAAGCCTACCCGAGGTCATCGACTTCTCGGTCGGCCGGCTGGTCGGCAGGGTTGTATTCCTATACTGTTGCGTGTTAGTGATTGCTTCAGGCTAGGATTGTCTGGCTTTGCCTACCAAGCAATATGTTGGACTTCGGCTGCCTATCTGCTGCCAAGGTGGGTGGGTACACAATGTACTTTGAATGCTTTCCTTTTCATTTATTCCTTGGTCCGGTAGCTTACCTGCAGTTGAACTCTCTGGTCAGTAATTGCACTTGTATGGTTACAGCTAACTACTACATGAGATTGGTAGCACGGGTACCTGAGTAGTACTACCACCCTCGGCTTCTCCTTCATGACCTTTTCACTCTTCATCTAAAAATGGAAAACACGATTCCATCTCGACAGCAAAAGGATGTTCAGCTGTGGTGGCGGCCATGCGAGCCACTCTATACTTTGTTCTCTCCTTACATTCCGTCGAACTAACTTCGGCCCCCATCCCTCTCAGCCAGCCGTTTTGCCAAGGGGCCACTCTCACCGGATCTACTGCCCCTGACTTGCCCATCTACGCTTCCCCGCCGCTGCTAGACTAGGATCTTTGACTTCGAAGCAAACAGTATTGGTTTCTTCCCGCTTCGCCAACTTCGTCATACTGTGCAGTCTCAACACCAAAAAAAAATTCACCAAAACAACAAAGCCACGATGCAAGGATGGCAAACCAGTCCTAAGAGCAGAGCCATCCACCGCTGCAGATAACGGCTCCTAATCACGCGCCCGTCCATGCTTCGCTTGGAAAGGCAAGCCCTACCGTGCCACGCAATCCACAGCTTTCTCAGCTTTCCTTCTTTTGTTCCGTTTCTGCAGGCTTGCATTCTTACTATTACCAGATAGGTTGGAAAGCCTCTTACGTAGTACTTCAGCAGCCTGGCAGCCCGGTTCACCAACATATGTTTCGTCCTTTTCTTTTTGTTCTCCCTTGCAGCTCAATATCAATCCTCTCACCTGAACTATTGAATCTTGCAGCTTGCTTTTCTGCGTCTTTATGCCGCCCCCTTGCAGTGTAAGGCTGGCAACTCTGATTAAAGACTAATTCTATTCTTAAATACAAGCTAGAGTAAACGATTGTTATTGCTGTAAGCCTGTAGCTTCTAGCCAGGTGTTGTACTTTTGCCTAGACGCAGCGGCCTGGTCAGTACCTGCAGCGATGGCGGCCAGAAAGGACGAAGGATTAAGTCTCTGTCTCTCTCTTTCTTTTCCATCTTGTTCCTGTTTTGTGGCTGGCTGTCAAGTCATCAGACCCATGTCCCTTGCTTCGTATATTGCCAGGTTTGATGCTGGCTTGCGAGGAACTCAGGGCGCTGACATTAAACTATTACGGTACAGCTTGATCAGATCAAGTAGGTATTCGATCCTATTCGTAGAGGTAAAGTCCTGAAGCTAGATGACGACCTCTAATTGCCCTACATTTTGAAATGCAGATATGAGTTCAGACTTTATACACAGCGAAATTTGAAAAGATAATGGTCGTTTATATAGAATTACACTTATATAGCTCAAACTACCCTGGAGACATCGTCACATCAAAGCAACTCTCCCAAAATCACACACAAAAAGCAATGAATGATAGAACAAAGTTCTTTATGTGCTTTTTTTTGTGTGCTTCCTTTCTCATCCATTCTGGCGTGCTCGTACCTCAGAGGACGGCGAAATTAATGCTGAGCTCTAGAGTACATTCATTGCAAACCATTCCTTTCCTTTCTTTGAAAGAATCTTTTTTCCCCAAAACGCCAAGTGCAAAAATGTGTAGCCAGGACTATCCATGCGCTTTCATTCCCTTCATGACTTGTTCCTCAGGTGAGGAGGAACCCACTTGCCAGCGGTTCGACCGGGCAGGCTCTCTGTAGGAGCGGCAGCAGACTCAGTCTTGCCGTTCTCGCCCCGTCTTGAGTCCTCGCGAGGAGAGTCACGAGGAGAGTCGCGGGGAGAGTCGCGGGGAGAGGGGCGAGCGTCACGGAAATCGCGAGAGTCGCGAGAGTCGCGAGGGCCAGGGCCTCTAGCCGGAGGGGGGGCATCGTCGTTTGCTGCTCCACCGCCTTCCTTGGCCGCTTGTCGTTCTCTCCAGCTTGGCTTGTTGCCGGAGCCAGCCAACTGCAGTCTCGGCGGGCCGCCGGCTGGGCGATCGCCAGACTCTGTCCGTGCCGGAGCACCGCCGTCTGCGGTCTCTCTAGCAGACTCTCTTTCTCGCTCCTTCTCTCGCCAGCCGCCGCCGCCGCCAGATCCAAAGAGTGGTCGTCGGCCCTCGCTGCCAGCAGCAGCAGCAGCAGCAGCAGCAGGAGGCTGTCGCTCTTTTTCTGCTTTACGACGGGCAAGTGCTTCTTCCTCACGTCTCTGCTGAAGCGCAGCCTTCTCCAACATCTCCTGGCGTTCTTTCTCGCGCTGTTCCTTGAGCTTAGCAAGTTCAGCCTTCCTGGCCTCGTCACGTAGACGCTGCTCCTCCTTCTCACGAGCGGCCTGTTCTTCCTGCTCCCGGAGGATACGCTCTCTCTCTTCCCGCTCCCTCTTCTCGCGCAGCTTGCGGTCACGGAATTCCTTCTTGCGGATGGCAATCTGCTTCTCGAGCTCGCGCTCAGCATCCCTGCGGCGCTTCTCAAACTCATCGCGGCGTCTCTCGTGCAGCGATGATCTGAAGCTTTCATATAGAGGCACAAGACGGCTAAGACGGTGCTTGAGTTCGACACTCTCCTTGTGCTTCTCTTCAGCCTCTCTGAGGGTCTTGATCTTGACTGCTTCGTAAATCTTGCGATCACGCTCCGTCTGCTTATTGTAGTCGTCGGTGAGCTTCTTAACTTCTTCCTTTCGGTAAGCTCGCTCCAAATGGTCAAGTCGCTTGCCGGTAATGCGTAGCTTCTCGCTGACATCGTTCTTCTCCCGCTCCAGCTGAGCCAGCTTCATAGCACGAAGTCTGTTGCTGTCCAGGTTGTCGATATCATCCAGATCAATATTCAGAGCCTCGCCGCTCATCTTGAGATCAGCAATCTGCTTCTTAATCTCCTCCTTACGAACGCGGTCATGCTCGGCCTTGATGCGTCGGGCCTCACGTTCACGCTGTTCCTCAGCAAGTCGCTTATCTTCAGCTTCCTGCAGAGCTTGCTCTCGCAACTTCTTCTGTCGGGCGTTCTCCTTCTCCTTCTTAGCTTGAAGCTCAGATGCCTCATCCTTGCGCTTCTGGATGATTTCTTTGCGTGCGAGAGTCTCAATATGCTCCTTCTCAGCGCCAGCCTTTGCGCGGGCGAGAGCAGCGTCATGAGCCGCCAAGCGATCCTTGCTAAAGTTAGGATCAATGTAGTGGCACGAAACGAAAAGTGACTTGGCAAGTCGAGTCAGCTGAGAGCGCACAATCTCAGAAGGAGTGCTCTGCAGACGCTGAACGTTGCCGCCATCAGCCTCAGCGGAGCCGGCAGATGATCCGCTGTGTCCAGCCTTGGCTGATGAGAAGACGTCGTTGTCAAAGCTGAGGACGCCAGTGGCATGGTCCATGCGGATGGCAAGATCACCCTTCTTATTTCCGTTCATGATGAACTTCTCGATGGTGCCGCGAGTGACCTGGTAAGGCTCAGGGAACTGGGCCAAGCTCTCGACAAAGTTGAGGTCAACAGTCTCGTAGACCTGAGAAAGCTGCTGGAACAGACGAGTGAGAATGACCTGCTGGAGAGGGACAATGTACTTCTCCATCTCAGCATCGGCAGCAATCTTGGTCAGGATGGGCGAAATCTTCTTGCAGATGAAGAGAGGGTGGAAGTCGACCTCCAAGATGTTGTAGAGATCGCGAATCTCAGGAGCAGATCGCTGGAGAATAGACTTGGACATGGCATCACGGAACAGTCGAGAGCGAGATGGGGCCTGGCTCATGCCAAGAAGGGTGGTCAAGCGAGTGTTCTTGTTCTTGCGGGCTTCATCGAAGTCGACCATGGCACCTCGGGATCGGGAGGTGCTGATGACAGGGATGGCGAGGGCAGACAGGAGAACAAAAGAGGCGGCCCTCTGGAGATCAGCATCGGAGGCTGGGGGGTTATCAGCCTTCTTTCCCTGGCCAGAGGCGACCAAAGCCGAGACCTGGCGCAGCAGGGTGTAGTATCTGGACCAGGCAGCAGCGTGGAAGAGGTAGTTCTCGCCAACCAGGAAGATTCGAGTGAGCTTCTCGTAGTAGTTGGCCATCATGATGTTCTTGGGAGGTCGCTTGCTGAGGTTGAGAAGAGTGTGAATATCCTCGACACTTCGGAAAGCCTCCTGCCAGAGTTCCAGCTCGACGGCAACATTGAGCTGCTGGAAACGAGTCTCCAGGTGGCGCTGGAGAGTATCGGGGTCACTCAGGTTGATGGCGTGCATCTGAGACGAGTACTTGGCCGCCGTCTGGACGTGGTTTCGGAGAAGCTCACAGAGTCTTCGGAACTCGGTCTTTCGGGTGTACTTGAGGCAGAAATCGAAGGCCTGCATGGCAGTGCTCTGGTACAGCACCTCGAGGCGAGCATTGTTGCGGAGGATGTCAAGGACGGTTCGGTAAGCCTCCCAAAGGAACTTGAGCCAAGGGGTGACGATGGCACGGTCGGTTCGATCACGAGATTGCTCGCCAGAGACGGTGGCGAGGAGGATGGACTCGGGGGTCTCGCTGGCTTCCAGGTCGTCAATGTTGGAGGTAGCAGCCGTAGCTTCAATGGTAGATTGAACTTCGTCCGCCTTCTGCTGGGCAGCAGTAACCTTCTCCACCGCGAGTTCGATGAACTTTTTCAGGACCAGCTGTGGGGGCGGTCAGTAATCCGTTGTAATCTTTCCCCCCCTTTGTTTCTTTTATCTTCTTTCATCCATTCAGCCTTGATGTTTTACCCACCTCAATAGTCGAAATGTTGGTGTTTTGAGAGAGATTCTTGTACTGGTACAGGGCATCCTTGGCCAGCTTTCCCTTCTTCTGTTCGACGGAGAGCTCAACCAACAAGAGCATAACCGGCTCGAGGGAGGCGATGGCAGCGCTTCGGGAGCGCTTGTTGGTGATGTGCTCATGGAGCAGGGTCAAGGCCGTCGGGGCCTGGTTGACCCCGATCAGCTCGTGGGCGCGCTTCAGGACATTTTCGGGCTTTTGATGCGGCGGGGGCGGCTATCGAGAGGGAGCAGAGTCAGCATCACAGCCCAACGTGGGAGTCTGCGTAGGGAGGGGCAATAGTTGGCAGCGAGACGGTCAGTCGCCATCTGCCTTGTGCTACGCACCATATTGGGCAACCTCCTCGACGGATCGATATGAGCCGGGCTAGGAGATTCGGGGGTAAGGAGTAGCCGTCGCAGGCCTGACGATGGTTGAGATGGGGCGCTGGCGTGGCACTCTTGGTGGTGAAGCCTCGCACGCTGGGAGGAATTTTTCAATTTCGTGTGTGGACGCTATCCGAGCATGAGGGGCTGCGGAACGACCCATGTCACGTGTTGCTTATGTCATCATTTGCTTGCTATTGTTCTTTGAACTCTGCAGGCCAAAGCAGTCCAAAGCAAAACGAGGATTCATATCGGACAGAGTTTGGCGCCACGAGTAAGTTTTCGATTTGCTTTAAAGCCTTCATACACTCGCATATAGATGATTGCTATAGTTACGCGTGAAGTAGCCGTCATTGATTGGCTGCCAAATTGATGCACCATTCCGGGCGCACTCCAGGCCTCGTTCAGCTCAAAGTCACATGATTCCCATGTATGGTGGATTAACGAGCCACTAGCAGAATTAAGCATTCGTACCAAGAACGAGGCGCGCCCAAGCAATCTATCTAATCGCCGGCTGTACCTACTGGACCGGCCACAGTAGACAGGCCTACCTGGCCTGCTATACAACTGAGCTTGCCCAATCAATCTTCAATTAACTTGAGCTATGGAGGGATCTTCATCCCGAAGATCTCGCTCGCGATCTCCGCCTCGACGAGCGCCCAAGGGCAGCGGCGGATTTCGCTGGAAGGATAAGGGCCGCTCAAACGACGACGGCCGCGACAGCTACGATTCAAGGAGAGACAGATTTCGCGACCGGGATCAAGGTCGGGACAGAGATCAAGGTCGAGATAGAGATCAAAATCGCAATAGAGACCGGGATCGGGATCAAGGTCGAGGCTATGGAGGAAGACAACAACGGGACTTCCGTGACCGCTCGCGCGACCGTGATCGTGACAGATATGGTGGCCGTGACAGGAATGAAGGTCGACCAAGATCGCGGTCTCCTCGACGACGCGAACCGGGGCCAAGAGACGAACGCGATGAGGCGAAAAGAGACACCGGTGATAGAAAGGACAGAAGAGAAAAAGAAAGGAAGCCCCCCAAGGCTGCAGCGGCGGCGGCGGGTCAAGAGTTCATCATCGTCCATGTCAATGACCGTCTCGGCACCAAATCGGCCATCCCATGCTTGCCTTCAGACACTGTTGGGCAGTTTAAGCTCATGATTGCGGCGCGCATTGGACGAGAGGCGGGACAAATCATGCTGAGGCGGCAGGGTGAACGGCCTTTTAAGGATCACATCACGCTGGAGGACTATGGTGTTTCGAATGGAGTGCAGCTGGATCTCGAGGTCGATACCGGCGATTGAAAAGCATGTTTCTCTTTCTCCTCTCCTCTACTTTCTCTCTCATTCCGTCCTTCAGGAGCAGCTCCTTCCTAAGCATTCATTCACTGTATTGGAATAACAAAATTACTGTCTGCTTTTGGCATGTATGTGGGATCTTAATATCTATAATGGTCAATCTAATAGCTTACTGACGGCAGCTTAGACTGTGCCGAGTGCATAGATAAATGCACCAAGAAGTGCTTTCACTCGATGTGACGTTGTAAGCGGAGGCTATTTCTCATCATTCAAGGACGGTCGAGCCCACATTCATAAGTGGCGAAAACTTTTCATGTTGATATGAAGTCGGTGGATAATAAAAACAGTATTCGTTGGCTCCCACGCCATTTTGCAGCTGACGAGTTCCAATAATAGAGCTGACGACATCTTCACCATGGACTTGGAATACCAGGAACAACCTGCCTAATATGTCCCTGTCTTACTTATGAGGATGATCTAGATGCAGAACTGCAAGTTTAACCGCTCGTCTCGTTTCGGGAAAGGGTTCCCTCTTAGCAGGATGAGGGTTCCCCAAGCAAGGCAGAATCCGAGTTACTGGGCTTTTCATCACTAGTACTCAGGCAAGCAATCATGGCATCAGAGCTAAAGGGGGAAGCTGGGAAAAGAGAGAAAAAAAGAGAAATTACAAATACCGGCAGCTCATAATACTACCACCGCTACCGAAAATTCCGTAGCAACAGTGACCTATCTGGAAGCCTTGGCTACTGGCTCTAAATAAGGAGAGGTGCCGTCACAATTCGTACGTGCAATTTAAGCAATTTAAGCAACAAGTCACGGGGAGCTGGGCTTTTTCCTCGCCAGGCACGGAGTAGCATTTCATGGGTAGCGAGCTCCGCCGCTCCATACTGAATGACGTGACGGCGATCGCATCTTCCGTCCCTCGGGCCTGGCGTCTTCCGATCTGGTCCAGGAATTGGGTAAAAAAGGACGAGGTATTCCATACGGCCTGTTTCCTGGTCCTGAGCTGAGGTGCCGTCGCAACAGTCACGCCAGCATTCGCAGCAGCAGCTGAGTTACGAAGCACTAAAAACCGGTGGTAATTTCGTGTCGAGGTGCTGACGCGATGCGTCGCATAGGATCATACGCAGCCTGCAGCTTGTACTGTTACTTGTAAGATTTGGTCCCCATTATCAGGACCTTAGCAGGGTTGCCTGGCTCCTCTCTGCTGCATTTCGCAGGCCAAAACAGGCAGTGGTCTAAGCTTGATTGGGTGCGACAAGCAAAAAATGGGATGCAGCAATAAAAGAAGACGGAAAAGAAGAATAAAGGAAACAAAACAAGGAACAAAGCTTTGGATGAATAGGACATTATCTCTGCTTTTTATTTTCCTGGCGAGATGAACGTATTCGTAGCCTCAGATGTAGCGGGCACAGAGTCGTCGGTGATGTGAGAAGCATTGACGGGATGGCGCTGTTTGCTCGTACGCGTTGGCTGTACTTTGCCCAGCCCGTCGGTAAGTAGCGGTACGTATCAGCAGCAAATTAGCGCGCTTCTCTCTCCTCTCGCTCAATTGCACACACGAGCTATTGCTCTACTAACAGATAGTCAGCGACAAGCCACCGCACAGCACACAGCTCTCGGTAACACGGGAAATCGACAGCAATCTGCTCGACACGCCAGGGCTGGCAAAAGTGCAAAATGCTAGCGCCGCCGTCGTTGTTATGCCAGAATCCTGTAGTCCTGGACTAGCAGCCAGCTTTCCAAGCTACTGCCTTGGCCCGTCTGCTACGGTAAGGGGTACATGTACTTGCTCTGCAGCCGAGCGCAGGTCACTCGCACGCTACATGAAGCAAAGCACTGGAGCGGCCCACCTTTTGCGGCCTTGGGGGCCAATCCTGGAGCACATCCGCGCTGCGCCGTTGCCTTTTGGTGCGTCTTGGTGCGCCGTGGCCCCCTGTCACTCCAATTTCCAGCGCCGTGCACGGCCCACCCACGCAGCTCTGCCCAGGCAAGAATGAGGGCGCCCACCCTAGCAGGAAAAAATGGTACCGGGCTAGGTGCGGCCAGCAGCAAGCCCCCTCCCCGGAAAGCCCCCTACAGGAGCTCCGTCGGCCAGTTACAGCGGTGCCCACTGCTAATTATCCGCCAGCCCAGCATCTCCTCTCCTGGGCCCAGCCCAGCACCGCGCCGTCTGTGGCGGATTCTTCCAACTCTCTTCCTCCAGGCCTTCCAAACCCCCAACCTTACTCGTACACTCTCGCTCACGCTCACACTCTCTTTTTCTTCCCCTTCTCATTCCCTCACACACACTTCACGTAACGCACGTCTCGCCTTCGCGATCAATCCCCCTCCTCTTATTCCCCCATATAGGAGTCTGTGTGTCGTCGCTGCTTCTCGCGACCATCAACGAGGGTTTCAAGAACGGCTGGTAAGTCGCTGTCTGACTTTTTTTTTCTCTGCGTTTCCTCAATTGCGCTGTTTCGCGATGCGTCCAAAGGGGGGCGGAGACGGTACAAAGTACCGCCTCTCACTGGCAAGACAACGGCACCACGACCATGGTCGAGCGGATTGTACGACGATGGACCAATTGAATCGAGATGGGAGCGCCGGCAAGAGGGAAAAGGAGCCTTTCGACATGCTGCTTTGGCTGCCTCGTCGCCGACAACCAGCCATCGCGGAGCCTGCGGAATAGAAGGACGCATCGCCGCCTCATGCCGCTTTGCTTGCTTGCTCTTCCATTTCGATATCAGACTCGTTGCATTCGTTGCACCGCCTTTGTCACGCTGTGGTCACATTGTGGCCACCAGTCGCGCGTCCGTCCTTGCAGCAAACAACACGCTGTTTTCTGTCTTCATCCTCCTTTGCTGCATCGTGTTTCATGTTGTCATCAGCCATCTTTGTGCTTCCAGCAGGTACCAATCAGCGGACTCATCCAACTAACCAGGCACCTGCAGGCAGTTCTCCCGACGATCCATCAATCAAATCCCATCGTCCCGGCTGACGACGCCTCCGAGCCTGCGAGCTATTTAATTACCGACTTCGGTCCAATCCAACTCATTAGTCATTCTTTTTTAATTTACGTACCGTTACGATGCCTCAGTATACCTCCCGTGATGTCGGCGACCCGACTCAGATCAAGAAGACGAAGCAGTCCATGGCAGACCTCAAGCTTAGGCGCTTAACGGAGCTGAACAACAGGCTGCGTGAGGATCTGGACCGGGAACGCATTCCCGTCAGCACCGCCTCCAAGAGGTAAGATTCTACGAAAATAAGTGTTGGCTGGCCTGGACTAACGCGATATTTGCAGCATAATCGCTTACTGCAATGGTACAAGAGATTACATGGTTCCTTCAGTATGGGGAACTGTCCCCAAGGGCGAGGACCCCTATGCTCCACAACAATCCGGCGGCTGCTGTGTTATCATGTAATTCCGTTTCCCCAAAGGTGGAACAATGACCATCGATGATGTTTCAATTGGGAGGGATTTTTGACGCGGCTTTTTCACTTTTTATTTCTTCCTCTTGTGTGATATGGGTTTTTATTATTCTCTCTTTTATTTTACAACGCGACGCGGCTGGGAATCAGACAGCCAGCGACGGATTCGCCGACGTCGACAAACCACCAAAAACAAACAACACACCTGATCCGGAAAGGCCTTTACGAGATACTAGACGGGACTCTGAGCTGGATCGACGCAGTCTCAATGATTATACCAATGCTAGAGAGGGGAGGGGGCGGTGGGAAGGAGGAAGCAAAAATCGCCTGTGGGCCGAGCAAAGGCCCCGCGCTCCCTTTTCTCTACGAGTTTATTTTTTCAAGCTCTCTCTTACTTTTTAATAAAGCAGTCGAGTGGTTTCATCTAGGACAAGAAGGAAGAAAGAGATATATCCAACGAATAAGAAAGAAGGGAAAAAAAAAGGGTCTACGGTGGATTGGAAGCCGGCTCTTTACTCTATTATATTTTCCTTTCTTTTTAGCATGTATTAATTCCCGTTTCTTTCTTCTATGGTCCTTCTCTCTTAAATCGAAATGCCCCCTGTACACTTTTCTTCTTCTTTTTCTAAACATTTCCACTTGTTTGCCAATTTTTACATTTGGAATTTTTTTCTTTTTTCCCGTGTGCCGGAGATGGATGAGGAGTCGCAGCGTGGTAGCATATGGTGATTTGCGAATTATCTTCACATTGATTCCCCTTTGGAAGTTGAGCTGAGGTGGCGAGCTGGGAGATTGTTGTCGTGTATAATGTCGCTTGTTATACGAGTGCGCGTAGATAATTTAACGGCCGAGTTTTGAACAAGGGTGGCATTTTCTTATTTATTTCGTGCGTGAAGAATTCGTGATAAAGTCCTCTAAGACTGACAATATAAAATTAACTCTCATGTATAGGATTCCTTTTTTTTTGTCAATGTTACTCTTTGTGCTGACTGGCATCTCATCATGGGTTTCGTGCTTAACAATTAATGGCGCGACGCTGCCGTACCTAGTATTTAGTGGTTGTGTACAGGTAGTGGTTGGTTGGCAATACCCTATAATACCTAGTATGTCCAGAACACGTGCTGGACCGTTTGTCACTCGCCAGCAATATAGAGAAATCCTGTGATGATTTACAAGATAAATAGCTATCGCATCAAGAAATTGGGCGTTTACAAAGAAATTGCCCTTGATCTAGTGTGCTGCTGAACTTGCCTTCTAAGTCAAGATAAAGCTCTATGTGGGCAGTTTTACTTACCATCATGAGCACGTAAGGATACGCTGTTCTAACTTTCTCAAGTCTCAAGTTGTTTCCTAATTCCTCATTACTCCATTGTTTTGAAAAAAGCCAAGGTTCAAGCAAAAATATTCATCAATAGTACACATATAGTATTTTCTTACCTCTATCCAGAATGTACGTGAAACTCACTCATGTTATCTGCAGTTGTAATCCATGTATGTGTGTAGAAGTAGAACCAACGGGTCCCCACATAAATCCAAGCAACTTCTTAGTAACCCGAATCGGATCTCAGATAAGGTTGGTTTGGGTTACTTTTGACAAGATCGCCTCAATCTCACCAAGACAAAACCACTCATCCTCTCTCCATATAACTATTCCAATCTCCTCATCTCCATCCCAGTCTCTTCAATTGCCCTCCGTAACAAAACTTGCATTCTTGAATAAACTGATACCAAGAGAGCCACCGCCATGTCTGCTACTCTTTCTTCTCCACCGCCCGCACAGCCTCTCCAGCAAGGCGCCGTCCTGGCACCGTTACCACGCATAACGATCCAATTTTGCACTCAGTGTAAATGGATGTTGCGAGCTGCATACGTACGTCTATATCAAATTTGTTCCTTCTGATCTCTCTACAAGAATACCCCTTGTCATTTATCTCCCATCTTTTCTTTCTGCTTGTAGCTTTGGCACACACACAAAACATAATCTTGTCTTACAATACACTTGGTTGCTGAGAAATCACAACTCAAACCAATTAATCATCCCTCAGTCTTTCCTTGCCCATAACCTCTTTCATATAAAACACAGTACACTAACATTCATAAAAAAAAGTACGCTCAAGAACTCCTCTCCACATTCTCCCTCTCCCTCGGCGAAGTCGCCCTCCAGCCCTCCACCGGCGGAACCTTCATCGTCACAATCTACCACCCTTCCACTTCTCTTTCAGAATCTTCTCTAAATCCGCCATCTATTCAATCCACCGTCCTCTGGAACCGCAAAATAGACGAAGGATTTCCCGAGACAAAGGAGCTCAAGCGCCGCGTCAGAGACGTCATTGAGCCAGGGAGGGATCTGGGCCACGTTGATCGGGACCATCGTCGGCCTGCTGCTACTGCCGCTGCTGCTGTTACTGCTGTCACTGCGGAGACTAACAAGGTAGTACTTGAAGGAGAAGCAAAGATAGAAGAAGTTTTGAAGAAGAAGCAAGATTCCGCAGCTTCTGGAGCTGGCGTTGTATGCGAAGACTGTAACTAAAAGACACGAATGAAGAGCAATGGAAAGTTATTATGAAAGCAAAGTAAAACAGTACATATCTCGATAAACTTGCACCCTCAAAGTGAAATTAAAGCAAAGAGAATAAAGAAAAAGAAGAAAAAGAAGAGGTGGAAAATGAGAAAAAAGTTGCAAAATGAATAATACTCAATGAGAGTTACCCATCGCTTTGCTAGTCGGCCTGAAAGCCATCCTATTTAATTATACCTACTTCAACAGCTATCACATGCAAACATTTCACCCAGAGAAGCCAACAAACAACTCCTCACGCCGTCCCTGGTCCAAGCGTTCAGCCACTTTGCAGAGTCAATTCTTGCTACTTACTTGCACACGCATATGTCATCTCCTAGCTGCATAAACATGATCCATTGCAGGTTACACGGCAGGCATCTTGATCCGTTCTTGTTACGCGCGTCTACCGTCCATGCCGCTGCCAGACAGGTGACAAACCAGGGAGGAGTTGAGCCCCAGCTACGTCATGGTCGTTTTCACACAAATCATTTCACATCATGTATCGGAACGAAAGAAACAGCCGGTGTGGCATGTGGTTTTAAAGTGACATCATAATGGATTTTTTTTTCTGTGAATGATTTATCTGTGAAGCTAAGAAACAGCCATTTGTCGTGACAAAAGTTTGCATGTTGGGACATTAGAGGCGATGCGAGCTAAACCGCCGAGTCGATACATTAATGCAGGAAGGGCTCGGGCGTTTAATATTCTCGAGGCAACCCGTTTTCGCCACCAGGGCCCAGCGACGGTGCGACGTGAGAGGTAGTAGAGATGAAGAGAGTCGGACAGTCAAAAAGAGAGAAAGGCCGGCGGTTTTAAAATCGTCGAGACGCAACTTGGTCGTGCGTTCCAGTCGAGAGAAGCAGACCAGGTCAAGCCATCAACTCTTGTTTAACGCCGGCTTCCAAACTTTTGTTTCTTCTCAGCAGGTTTAAGGATCTAGAGAGGAGACAAGTTAGCTCAAGCTTCATCTTATACTACCGGTTTGGGCAGAGATCATTCGAGTGGGCGTGGTACTAACCTGGAATGAGCAGAGCAAGCTCTCGTCTACGCTCATCATGGCACCTGCGTTGTCGAACTCGCCACAGTAGTTGGGGGCACTGAACAGAGTGACGAGCTGGCGCTTGGAGAAGAACTCGTAGCCATCTTCTACGACCTGATGGGCACGGCAGATGAGGTCCATGTCGTGCTTTTGCAGGAAACGGGAGACCACGTCGGGACCAAATGTGAAGGACACACCACGGTCGTTTTCGCTCCAGCCAGTAATATCTTTATCGGGATCGGACCACAAAAGGTCGCACAGCAGACCGCAATCGGGGATCTAAAGGTGATGGTGTGTTAGCAGGTGCCCCTACGAAGGAACAAGATGGAGCCAAGGGGACAGGAACATACATCGGTGGGGCGCATGACGCGACGAATCTGCTCCATCGAGTTCAGATCGGGGCTGAGACCTCCGTGCATCGTGAATATCTTCTCGTCGATGATAGCGGCGATAGGTAAGCAGTTGAAGCAATCCGTAAACGTCTTCCAAAGCTTAATGTTGTATCGGCGCTTGCACTCATCGTAGAAGCCGTAGATACGGTTGATGGAGGCACACTCGTGGTTGCCACGCAGAATGAAGAAGTTCTCGGGGTACTTGATCTTGTAGGCGAGGAGCAGGCAGATTGTCTCGAGGGACTGCTTGCCACGGTCGACGTAATCGCCCAGGAACAGGTAGTTGGCCTCAGGGGGGAAGCCACCATACTCGAACAAACGCAGAAGATCGTAGTATTGGCCGTGAATATCGCCGCAAATCTATCAAAAACCGAGTCAGCATCCTGCTTGACCAAGAAAGAAGAAAAAGGGGGAAAAAGAATCTGCGAGTTTCTTTCTCCCTTCTTCCAACGCAATGGCAAATTGCCATTGAGCAATTAGACAGGAATAGGCCGACATACCTTAATAGGAGCCTCCAACTCAAGGAGGATGGGCTGAGAAATGAAAATCTCACGGGCCTTGGTGCACAGGAAGCGAATCTCGCTCTCGAGGAGCTGGACTTGCTTTCCGGGCCGGCTGCCTCGGACCTCGAGCAGCCGGTCAATTATAGAATCGAGATCGACCTCGTGTTGGTCTGCCATCTTAGAGATGCTCCCCGTGGGAGAAACGGCTCGCGTTTATCGAATGGATGAAGCCGAGAAAAGCTGCGTGTTGTAAAGCGAAGGAGGGGGGAAGAAAGGGAGCGCGTGCTGGGAGCAGGCCGATGCGCAGAGATGATGCGGCCGTCGACTAAAGAAAAAAAAGAAAGAGCAGATGATATACACTGAACAATAAGCACTTTCTGGTAACGAAGTGATCAGGGATCCTATCATCAAATGTTAGAAGGGAAATCAAGAGAATCATCAATGATGCGGGTTTAGTCATCGAAGGGAGCTCCCCCTCCTCCCAAGTCAGTCTGAAATAGAAGATAGAGAGAGAAGAGAAAAAGGGCGTAGCTGTAGAGCAGACCAACATCCCGACAACCGGTATCGATTCCCAGCCAGTGCCATCGAAAAGCCCATTGTTATGGTGTTTTCCGTCATCACGACCATTTTTTTCTCCGTCTTTTTATTTTTTCCCTCTTACTCTCCTCCCCAAACAGGAGGGGGAGGCGACTTGGTGATGGTGATTCCGATGCCGAAACAGCGGGAATTGCGAGAGAAAGAGCGCGCGCCATCGTCAAAGTGGGGTGAGGGAAAAGGGTTCGAAAAAATACTCACAGGTAAAATGACGATGAGGCGTTCCAAGCTTCGTCAACGACACAACCGACGCGAAGAAGGTTTAAAACAATTAAAAATGAGGCCGCAAGCGGGGGATTAGAAACGAAGTCTAAACGCGCGATGACAGGCTCTCGTGGCAAGATGGCAGGGGCTCCGGTTTTGGGGAACAAAAACACCGCCGAGATGCAAATGCCTATTTTCTGGCTGTTCGCTGTTTATTAAGATTCGTCGTGGCTGCCTTTCGAAAAGGGCTCGTCGCTGAGGCAGAAGTCCTTGATGGCTTCAGACCCAAGAAAAAAAGGGGGGCGTCAAGGCGATTCGTGATCGTCGTCTCTCTTTTTTTTTGCTCTCTCTCTCTCTTCTCACTTTCGCTCTTGTATCAGGGCGGAGCCAGAAGGCAAAGCCCGTGTTCGTCGCGTCAGATAAGGCCCGTCAAACGGGTGGCTGAATTCTGCAATCGTCAGGTCGATGACAACAAAAAATAAAATAAATGGACGATGATGGTTAATCGCCGGTTCGTCGTTGGTAAAACAGAGGTCGTCGTCAAAAGAGGGCTTCTTTGACGGAGATCGCTTTTGGGGTGGTGGAAGGAAGAGAGAAAGAGGTAGGCTTTTTTTTCCCTCCCGGCGTAAAAGAGAAGGGAAGAGTGGGTTTTTTTTCAGTGCTGGGGCGACGCTTGGCCGGCTCGCTCGCTGATGCCAGCAGGAAAAAATGGTGCTAGCAGGCTCTGGGGGCGTGTTGTATCACGCTGATATCGAATCGAGTACTACGTCCATTTGGCATGCGCGGGCCTGCATTGTGATATCACCAGAGACAATGCGTGCGTCAAGAATCAATCGTCATGCAGGCCGTCGTCTTTCCCCAATTCAAATTTTTTTTTTTGTGTCTTTTGTGTCTTTTCTTTGTCATTGCCGGGAGTGAGTCAGCTCACGATGGAATGCTGCGCTCTCACATCGCAATCAGCCAGGGATAGGTCAGGATAGGTAGGTACAGTAGCATCAATCCCAAAAGCGCTTCGGTAGCGTCCTTGCCCATGCTTTTAGTGGCCCCCCTCGCTGAACTTAGTTTTCCAGGTCTCCAGGCACTTGGTCCAGGGGGGGGCCGCATCAGCCTTTTGGTGGCTTCGCATCAGTGTAAAAAAAGAAGAAACACCCATGGGTGAAAAATTCTATTGCAGCGCCGCTTCAGCAGCCGCATTCGGGCGCTGCCCCTCCTGGAGCTCTGCAGCAGCAGCAGCATCAAGTGTCCAAATCCAGCCTAAGCGACGGAACAGGACTGCTCCAGCTTTGGCTGCCTGTCCCGCGCACCTTGTGCTAATTCAATTCCTCATCCAATGCTGCTTGCCCTGCTTACGACGTGCTATTCCATGTCCAATACGGCGCACCAGCACTGTTTTGTGTCTTTTTCCATCTCGTCTCCCTCCATCCCAAAATCCTCATCCCTTGTTTCTTCCAGCCTAGCTCCGGTGCCCATGCCGCGCGCCCATTGGCCAGCTTCGAGCCGGTCGGAATCCGCTGCCTGTGGGCTTCTCTTCTCATCCCCCCTTCCTTCGTATCGCATCGCATGCGCATCGCATTGAAACTGGAGACGTTTCTGTCACGGGATTTGGACGGCCAACTCTCCGATTTCACCAGGAAAAATGAAATACGTTGCAAAACATGGTATTACGCATTTATATCATGCATCCTCCAGATAAGCACCCCTTTCTGTTGAGAAAGATCAATCTTCCCACGTCCGGCACCGGTGCCCGAAAAAGTAGCGAAAAAAAACGCCACGCAACAACGGGTGTGTAGCCTCCGCACCCGAATATTCTTAGCAACAAAAAAGTCGAAAACCTGCATCGGAGGACGGCTTCCCACATCCAGCCAATGGATGCCCGCCATCCGGTGCTATCAATAATCTCATCGAATATCATGCATCAAGTCCCCGCTATTCTGCCTTGTTCTCCTCCCCCTCCCCCTCCCTTTTTTTTCTCCTGATTGACAAATGGCTCTCCACCGTATCTGTAGATAGCTGCTATGTACTCTCCAGTCTCTTTTCCTTGCATCTGCGCTGCTGTTGCTCATCATGTTGACGGCATCCACGGAGCTGCGGCGTCAACGGGAATTCGTTGAAGTTAAGATTGCGAGTCTAAAGAAATATATATATCCACAATATCATAATAGACTCGACAAATGGCTGTCAGCGGCGGACAATGGGATGATTGGGCACAGCCTTGAACGTTAATTCCTAGCATCATCCTACTATCATCCAACGCGTAGTTTTCCACATGTGCCTTGGGCAGCTCCCCTTTGACCCCGCCACCCCGCACAACGCCGCACAACGCAATTAGCATGTGTGTACATCCACGATACAGGGCTTGTGGGAGACCTTCAGTGGCGCAACGCTTTAGCTTTGCTCCATGAAACACCAAATCAGTTAATCGATAAAACTTCAGATACCCTGGTTTCAAGAAAGAGAAACAGTATGTACACCAAATCAGTTAATCGACAAAACTTCAAGATACTTAATATCAAGAAAGAGAAACAGTGTGTACACCAAATCAGTCAATCGATAAAGTTTAAGATACCAAAATACTAGTAGTTCAAGAGAGAAAAATGTATACACATTCGAGTCAAGGCCATTTGAATACGTTAATCCTACATATCAGTAAAAAGAGGAATTAACCCCTTTGTCCGCCCAATTATCATTGACCCAGGGGCATTAAAAAACCATTTCCATTTCCTGCTCATCAAGCAACGCCCTCTCTGCTCAGTTCCAGGCAGTCAGTCAACCCTTCGTCCTTCCAAAAAAAAAAAAAAAAAAAATTAAATAAAGAACATTGTTTAAAAAGAAAAAACAAGCAAAGCAGACAGATTGGCCAGATTGCTAGGTGTATCAATAGAAGAGAGAAGGAAAAAAAAAATAAAGAAACCAAATGCTGTTATCCTTCCCGACGCCAAAGCCTTATATACCGATGCCTTCATAACAAAGCGCTCAGTTGGAGAAAATTGTCGGAAATCAAAAGGAGAAAATCAAAATCTCCTAGCATGCCTTGCAAAGTAGCAAAAAGCCCTGTCTCAGTCATCCTCGCCTAATCATCCGTTACAAATAGACCGCCCTCTATCGTCGTCTAGTCGATGCTCTTCGCTTCCTTAACCTACTCGCCTTGTTCTTAGCGCTGCTACCGCCCGAATTGTCCTTGGGCTCTTCTGCATCCAGCACTGCCGCGGTCACTGTATCACCCATGTCGATGCCCAGATCTTTAAAGTCTTCGTCGTCAAGATCCGTGAGATCTTCGCTCAACGTTCGCACCGCGTCTCGGCCAGCCGCCCAGTGTTCCTCGAGGATAGATGTGCCATGAGGCTCAAGCGCTCTCAGGTACCAAAGGACGCCTCCTTCTGAAAGAGGGTCTGCCGGTTCATTGCCCAGGCTTCCATTAGACTGGGGCGGTGTCGGCGGCCCTTCCTGAGATGGCGCAGCCATGACAGCAAAGCTGCCAGTACTGTTTGGAGGAGTTTCAGACGTAATGGCTGAGTTAACCCGCACAGTTTTGACAGCCATCTCTTGTGTGATTCCAAGGCCCGCTGCAGGACGGTTGGTCATAATACCAAGGCCAACCGTATTGACCTCTATACTATCACCCTCCTCTCTCTCTTCGTCCTCATCCTCATCCTCTTCTTCCTCTTCTGCTTCTTCGTCTTCGTCATCATCCTTCTCAGCAGTGTCCATGACGTCACCATCATTGGAAGAAATGCCGCTCTCGCGAGTCAGGGGTTCGCTTTTAACAATGGTCTGAGACTCGGAAGATAGGTCGGGCGCATCAAGCATGACAGTATCTTCAGCCCCTTCATCAGGAACGCTGTGTGCCGTGCCATTGACTTGTCGCCCAATATCGATGCTAGCGTCTATGAGGGCTTCTAGCTCCTTCTGGAGACCTTCAGATGGCTTCGTAGAGATTTCTGACTCAACCTGCAGCGATGTTTCCAGGAGTGGCTGCACTGCCTTGAGAATCCGCTTTCCAAGCTTGCGTCGCTCTCTTATGTCTGCAAATTGTGAGCCCACAGTCGAGTTGCCGCTGTTGTTGTTGATGTCTATCGCCAGCGCCAGCGCCGCTTCTTCTCCTTCTGCACCCCCTGATAACTGATGAGCAGGTTCCAGGTCTTTTGGTAGAGTCAAAATGCCCTTGTTAATAACATCGCCCAGGTCTTGTGCAAATCCCAAGACATTGACGTAGACTCGCTTCTCAATGCTCGCCTGCAAGTCAGCCAGGCCGTCTGTGAAAAGTCCCTTATCCAGCCTACAAAGTGATAAAGTAGTTAGTACATGGATGGTTTAGAAACAGAGAACATGTAAATGCAATAACCAAGACGACTTACGCAATAGCCTTCTCTACAACAGGC